AATGTCCACCTTGTATTCTTTGATACTGTGATTTGAGCAACTATTTTCAAGATGATAATATGTAATCTACTAACAGGTGATTTCTTACTGTTATGTTTTTTTTTTTTTTTTGGTAGTTCTGTATTACGTGTACCCTTACACCGCTTTGTTTTGTGTTTTTCTCTTTTTCCTCTTAAAAAAAAAAAATTGAACAACCTAGATTGAGTAGAAAAACTCCTAGAAACAATTATACTGAAATAGAATGTGAATACTTATAACTAGTAAGATGGAACTAGCAATCAAAAATCTCCCAAGAATGAAAAGCACCAGACCTGATGTCCTACTGGGAAACTGTACCAAACACTTTAAAGAACTGAAAAAACCCAACCCTCCTCAAACTTCTCCAAAACATGGAAGGGAACATTTCCTAATTCACTCTATGATGCCAGGAACCTCAATGCCAAATATAAAGACACCTCTATTAAACTAAGACCTATAGACGAAAACTGCTTATAAACAGCAATATAAAATTCCTCAACAAAATACTAGTAGACTAAAGTTAGCAGTATATTAAGAGGACTATTTCTATGACTGAGACTTAATCCTGAATCCAAGGATGGTTCAACATAGAACTTCAAAGCAATGTAATATATCACATGTTTTAGTTGCTTTTCTTTTGCTACAAAGACAAAATATTTCACACCCCAAATTAAGGGAGGTACAGTTTACCTAACTCATATTTTGTGGGTGTTTCAGTCTCTAGTCAGCTGGCTCCAAGGCAGGGTGGCAATAGTTCCTAAGCTGTGGAAGACATCAAAAGCAGCAAGAGCAAAAGGAGAAGCAAACCTTTTTTCCTCTCTTATACTGTATGCAGGTATCCGTCCTAGGGCAGTGTAGCACTCACATGACCAATCCTATCACTAGACAATGAACCAATGACAAACTCTAGATTCAGCCACTTCCAAAAAGCCCACCTCCCATGATCGCATGAGGCTATGGGGCACATCCAGACACAAGTCATAACACCACATTAACAAAATGGAACAAAAACCCCCATATGACTATCTGCACACATGCAGAAAAAAAAAAAAAAAAAAAAAGACAAAACTTAACAGAACATACAACTAAATAGGAATAGAAAGGAAAACTGCCTCTACATTAAAACTCACAGCAAACATCCAACTCAATGTGAAAGAAAGCTTTTCCTTTAAGATCAGGGATAAAACAAAGATGATACTTCAGTCAAAGCCATTTAAAGTGGTATTTGAAGCTCTCACCTGAGGAATCTGGCAAGAAATAAGGCCTCCAAATTAGAAAGGAAGAAGCAAAATTACCTGTTCCTACATATGATCATATATCACAAAAACCTTAAAGCTCTTACATGCACACTTCTGTTAGAACCAATAAGTAAAGCCAGGGTACAGGATACAAACTCAAGTTACATTTTTATACACCAACAATAAAAAATCTAAGAAAATAGTTCCATTTACAATTGCACTATAAAGAATGAAATACCCAAGAATTAAGTTAACTAAGTCTTGCAAACAATGAAAACTACAAAACACTGCTTAAAGAAACTACAGACCTAAATAAACACACCCCTTATCTTCACAGACCTGAAGACAGAAACACTATTTTTAAAATTTCAGCACTACACAGTAATTTACTAATTCAGCCCCTATTAAAATCCCAATAAAATTTTATGGGAAAATAGAAAATCCGACCTAAATTCACATGGAATTTCAAGAGACCTGAAATACCTAAAGCAATCTTGAACAAAAACAAAGTGAGAAGACTTACTTTTCCTGATTTCAAAATGTACTAGAAACTACAGTAATCAATACTGGAAAAAAGGCAACACATGGACATATAGCAACATGACCCTGGCATACATAGTCCAATGGGGAAAGACAACCTTTTTAACAAATGGTGCTGAGACAACTGAAAATCCATAGCCAAAAGAATGAAGCTGGACCTTTCCTAACACAAAATCTAAAAATGGATCAAAGAATTCAATATGACTTTTTCCCCCCAAGACAGGATCTTGCCATGTAGTTCAGGCTGGTCTTAAACTCACTATGTAGCCCAGGTTGGCCTCAACTTGGCAGCAATCCTCCTACCTCAGTCTCTCCAGTGCTAGAATTACAGGAATGTACCACCAGGCCAGCCACCCAATATGGCTTAAACCTAGCTCTTAAGCCTCACCACAATGATTAGGCAAGGATTTCAAGAATTTGACACCAATGGACATGAAAACAGAAGAAAAAAACAAAACAGACTTCATTAAAATTAACTTTTATGCATCGAAAGACACCAATAAATAAACTGAAAAAGCAACCCAAACAATGGGGAAAAAATTCAAATAATTTATTTGGTATTAAGAATAATTTAAAAAATAAATTCAGAACTTATAAAAAAACAGAAACAAACAAAAAAAAAAAACCCAACAAAAACAAAGAACTTGACTGCAAAATGAGAAAAGCACTTGAATAGACATTTCTCCAAATGTGAACATGTGGCCAATAAATGCACAAAAGGTGCTTATCTTGAATCATTGGGGAAATGCAACTCCAAACTACAGATTGCTACTATAAACAAAAACCAGAAAATAACATGCGTGATGAAGAAAGAATAACAAAGTCCTTGCGCACTCCTGGTAGAACTGTTAAACAGTATAGTTTCTATGGAAAATAGGAGGACATTTGCTAAAAAAAATTATAGCTACAATTACTATATAATCCAGCAGATCCATCTCTGGGTACAAACTCAAAAGAAATGAAAGCAAGATCTTTGTACATCCATTTTTGGAGAAGCACTACAGACAAAATGTAAAGGTTATCAAAATTTCAAAAAATGAATTGAGACAAAATATGATATATATCCATGTCTATACACACAAAACAAAATACTATTTAGTCTTAGAGGATGAAATTCTGACCATTACAACACAGGAATTCTGAAAACATCACTCATGTAAGTTGTTAAAATCAAGCTACAAAAAGCAGAATGCTGGTTGTCAGGGACTGGGAGGTTAATTTAATGGGGGACTTTACAAGATGAAGAAAATTGGACGAATGGCGATGATGGTGGAAAAATATTAGAGATCAGATAGAATTTTCTACTATGAAAAAAAAAAAAGAATTTTCTACTATGTATATTTTACAATAAAAAAAGAAAATGAAATACTGATATATGCAATAATATAATAATTATCCTAAGTGAAAGAATCAAAATATGAAAGGCCACATGATCTAAGATTTATATGTAATGTCCACAATTGGGAAACCCATAAAGATGACAAAAACAGATTTGTGGTTACCACAGGACAGAAGGAAAATAGACAGGGGTACGGGTTTGTTGAGAGTTGATGAAATTTTTTTGTAAGTAACACAGTGGTGATGGCTGTACAACATTGTGAATATACTAAAAGGCAATAATTTAACTCTACAATGTCTCAAGTAATGAATTTTGTCTCAATTTTGAAAACTTAAAAAAAGTTGGAAGGTAGTTAAGAAGCCAGTTAGGACACTAATTCCATGGTTCAGACTTGCATTAGAAAAAAAAAAAAAGAAACACACAATTAAATAGAATACCATACTATTTTTGAGTTTAAGAACATAAAATTTTTTTTAAGATATACCTTGAATATTGACAGTTATGTCTGGCTAACTTTTTTATTTATATTTTTCTGTTACCTAATTTCCCACAAACAGGGTATTTTGTTTTTAAAATTACAGAATACGATTAACCTGACTTAATAGAGAACTACTAATTTACATAGTAACTACTAATTTACATAGTAACCAAGTTATTCAGACTTTCAATTCAAAGTAATGCCACATTTGCTTCCAGTTATTTTAAAAAATTCGTGTGTTGAAGTTCTTTTAACACTACTTCCTCAGTATCGTCTATCTTTAAATAAAAACCCAACTATTTGTGAAGTTGTGATAGGAAAGACATCCTTTTCTTTAAACTTTGATCATATGCAGGCATAAACAAAGAACATGGTTTGTAACATTTAAAATTTACAAAAATGATTTACTGTATTACACTTTTTTCTGCAACTTACTTTTCTACTTAACATGTATGACGGAGACCTATCTACTTTTATATGTACTATTTGTATCATTTAAAATTTTGATTAAAAGCCATTAAACAAGTTCCAAATTTTAAGCCTCCTCCCCAGCTACACACAAAGAATGAGAAGAATTTTATTTAAAGCATTTTTGAAGGCTATAATAGTGATGGCAACATTCTACTGCTTTTCCTCATCTTTATCTCTAAGGTACTTTTTTTCTCTTTTAAACTCAAAATCAAGAGACAGTCTCTACTCATCATATTATAACACTCTCTTCTGGAATTTCAGGCCACAGCAAAAATACTCACTAGCCAAGTAGTTTTACAGAAAATTAAATTAATTATTACAGAAAAAATCATGTTGCATTCACTTAGTTACCTAAAAATATACTTAATATATTAAAAAAAAATCAACACGTGGAAGTTTTTGGTCAGTTTCCGTCACTGCAAAAGTAAAAAGCTGTAATAACAAATGAAAAGCTTTGAGTTGAAGCCAACACAAAGTACTATAATATAAACAGGAAAAACCATACTAAGTTAAAATATCTTGGCAATAACAAAATAATGCTAGTTTCTGAAACAGATTTTAAAACACTGAGCCATCAAATCAACTTTCCTAATAACTATTTTGTAATACTTTCCCCAAAGCAAACAAAACCTTCCCAAATTGTTTGACAGCCCCCTTTTCAGAACTATGACTTGTCATCACATGCAGTCAGGCATAAGATTATTCTGAAAATTAAAATTTATGTCTACACATTAATTTACTAACCAGAGAGAAAAAAAAGTGCCTGTCATGTATTTTAAAAAATGTTATTATTATTATTTAATAAACTTATTATTAAATTTATGAATAATGTGATCTCTGTATGCAATTATAATTAATAAAAGCATTGCAATGGGAAGGTTATGGACATTCATGGTAACACAACACTGTTACTTACCCACAAGTAGTATGTGAACTGAAGTGCAAAAATAGCAATGCCTTCATTATCAAAGGATCCAGCTACTGATCGAGATATATAACCTGGTACAATAGCAATAAAACAAGCAGCTAAAAGTCCTGCTCCTTGGTTCCAAAGTTCTCTGGTAAGCAGGAAAGTAGATATAGATGTAAGGCCGCTAAAAGTTGGTGCAAGGAAAACACATACGTCTCTTATGTGTACTGTTATATTCAATGTATTTAAAATCCAATGGATAAGGCCAGCTGTTATCATCAACCCTGGATAAACCTAGGAAGGAAAAAAGTGAAAAATAATTACATATAAAGTGAGGTACCCCAAAACAATAACATTAGTTCTCAAATTTATTATTATGTATTGTTCACAGTAAAAAAGAAATAGAAAAAAAAAAAGACACCAAGTAATTTTCCTTTTTTTGGGTGGACACAAAACAAGCTCAGAGCCTTTGTACTGACCTACAACCCTAGATCCCTTTTTGAGACAGGGTCTTGTTATGCAATTCAGGCTGCTTTCAAATTTGCAATGATCCTTCTGCCTCAGCCTCCCAAGTGCAGGGATTACAGGCATGTACTACCATGCCTGGCTTTTTTTTTGAGACTGGTCTCACTAAACTGCCTTAGGGGGGCTTGAATTTGCAATTGTCATGCCTCTACCTCTCAGAGTAATGGGATTATACGTGTGCACCAACATGCTAATTCTAATTCCCATTAATTCTTCTTATGCCTACAAGAATTTAAAAATAATTCAAAGGCTTCTGAGACTCCTAAAAGGTAAGTTTTAATATCACAAAGTATTTATGGATGGAAGGGAAATACTAAACTAGAGGTGGTTGGTAACCAGTCATACTCTTAAGTGGTAAATATGGCACTATTTTAAAGCTATTCCTCAGTTATTAAAACTGCAAATCAATCCTAAATTTATCATCATATTACATTCCATTTATCTTATTTATTATTAACTATTCATTGCCTACCCTCAAAAAGATAACTTCCAGAATAAAAAGAATTTTTTTATCTGCATCAAGAACAGTAAATGGCACATTCAACATAAAAAGAATTCATACAATAAAAAGATTAAGGGAAAAAAGATAAAGGATAATTTATCTTCACTCTTAAAAAATAAAACCTTTGTTCCATTTCATATTCAGTATGGGGTCCTACTGTATGATTCTAATAGTGAAAGAAAATGGAAATGAATTTTAAAATACCTCTCAGGATAAGTTAACATATTTATATAATATTGTAAATGGAGCTTACACACACACACACACACACACACACACACACACACAAGCAAAAGAATGAATAATACTGGAAAAAAGAATCCCAAAACAAACCCCAACAGCAAAAATGATGTATACTAAAATTGAGAAAATTCAAAGTTAGGTACTGATGCCTACAACAGAAAGGAAGGGGGCAAAACCCCAACAAATCAGGCCCGATACCTTAAGAACTGGAGACTATGAGGATTTCATCCGACGCAGGGATCATAGAGAGTTAAGTTTTAGCACAAAGCCACATATTGTTCCTGGTATTAAATTAGACAAATTCTACTCATTCATTAAGGGAGGCAATGTACTTGCCTCAGCAGCACAGATACTAAAGGAAGCAGTAAGGAGCTTTGCCTCCCTTCCAAAGCTTTGAGTAGAAACAAAATCCTAAAATAGAAGAAACTAATTGAAATGTGTGAATGGAGGTTCCCAATTAATAATATTACATGTAAGAAACCTCAAACTGAGCAATAACCTGTAGAAACTTTCCAAAAGGAAGAAAAGAAAAAGACCAGAACTTTCCTAAATCCAATGAAAAACTTTGAGGGCTCCAACAAAGACAAATGAGAAAATTACAGAGATACTATAGTCCCAAATCCTAGGACACGAAGGAGTCTTCCTCAGCAAAAAACAAACCAACCAAACAAACAAACAAACAAACAGGCCTCCATTGAGCATGACTTTAAGATAAAAAGTTGTAAGCATGCAAGGAAGCGAATTATAGTCATCAATAATAATACAGTCAGGTATATAAGATTAGCATCATAAGAGTAAAAGGTAATAGCTGACTACCACGCCCAATACCATTTTAACACTTCTCTAATTCACCATTAATGGTCTTTAAGAAGACCGTCTTGACTACTGTGTCTTTATGTACTTCAGGACAAGAGTCTCCAGATTAGAAATACAATCTGTTACTACCATAGGAGAGATTCTTCTAAACCAGCAGCAACATGTACAAAATGTGAATATATCCTAAGCCACAAATCAACTCTCAATAAATTTTGAAGTATAAAAACTGTAGAGAATTTCCTTAAATACTGAATCATAATATATGAAGCACCAAAAAAAGATAACTATGAAACCCTCTTAAAAGTTAAATACAACTATAAATAAACTCACAAATCTGGGGAAATTGTAACAGAATGATGAGAATTATATAAAACTTACAGAATGTTGTTAATGTGAAAGTTACCACTTTAAAATGCATGCATTAGTTACAAAGAAAGATTGACAATTATTTAGCAAATCACCTCAAAAAGTTAGAAAAAGTATCAAAATAAAATGGAAGAGAAAAAAAATCAATGTAATTAAAACAAAAACAAACAAAAAAAGATAATAAAGCTAAAGGTTTCTTTAAGAAATATCAAATATAGATTTATGCCTTATTGTTTAACCTCAAAATTATATGCCAAATTCATCTTGAATTATATTCTATACTCAGGTACCTAGAATAATTTAAAGGAGATTGAGACCTGAAAAATTATGAAGTTCTATCCCTTCCTAAAAAATTTTTTAAAACCAAATTGTTGTAGAACAAAGCAATAACAAAATCTGAACTTCAGATATGTGTATTACTTGAATTACTATCCCATCTCTCCTACTTGCCAGAAAGAGTAGCTAGAGTGACACAACCCCAAACAGGCTTGTGTGTGATTCAGGAAGGTGAAAACCGAAGAAACATCAGAAAAGAACTTCAGCCACAGAAAATGCACTAATGAACTATACAAATCTTTCAAGAAATGCTTACCAATGAATGATTTATATAATGAATAATAAAATAACTGTTAATATACTTACAGTACCACCCACTATTCTTCCTAGTGGATACCATGCTCTTTCATCAAACCAATTTAAAAATTCATAGAATCCGTGAGAGGCAAGATGATGTGTTGATCTATAGTTAAACCTACAAGAAAAGAGAATTGAGAAAAATTATAAAACTGCTAACCAAAATAGCTTTTTAAAATTAAATTCTGTGAACACAGAAATGTATCTTGCACAATACTTGTTCCTCAAGTTTACATAAATAACAGATAAAATAATTTAAAAATATCAAAGGAATGTGCTTATGCTCCTAATTAATAATATCCCTTATCGGCTAAAATAATGCTTAAAACAACATTCTGCCATCCTCTTGTGATTCAGAATAAACAGCTGTAATTTGAGTGAAAAAAGCAATTAAGAGTCCACAGAATTCACACATAATCAGAGCAAGTTCATGACTGTCAAAAGAACCTCTGACAGAAGATAGTATCAAAATGGAAGAAGGAATATATGTGACATTGTGAAATGTCCAAAACCCTGAAAATTATATAAAGAAAAACTATAGTATCTCTGAAAGTACCAACAGTATAAACCGTAATATCTCTGTAGAGCAAAAATCTATATGGCCATAAAGAAAAATTATATTTAATCTTTAAGACAAGAGACAAATGAGAAGAAATGAATCAAAGGCCAAAATGCAAGCAGAAAAAAAAAAAGTAAAACACCAAGGGAAGTTCCAGGAATATTCTATGTTCAGTATAAAGTAGCTGAAGGGTCATACATGGAGGCATACATTTATAATCCCAGCACTCAAGTGGCTGAGGCAGGAGAAACATAGCAAAGTTTAAGGTTAACCAGAACTACATAGTGAGACCCTATGTCAAAAAAATAAAAAAGCAACTATAGGGACCAAAAGAAAACCCTAGAACAATCCTCAAGGCAAAGTCATTTTAAAAAAAGACAGGCAAATGGACCACTTCTCTCAATTATTGCCAAGAAGGAAAGCATCTCAAATGTAGCAAATGAGGTAAGAGGCAGAACTATGCTGGACACAGATGTACAGGAAATTTTCATACCCAAATTCAGTTTCATACATCCTTCCCAACAGTCAAAACTCTCCACTCAACAACAACTATGTAGCTCCTGGACAGATTTTTCTACAACCAAAAATTAAGCATTTAAGCATCACAAATGCTAAGCAACAAAGTCAGCCAAAGAATACAGCAAACAAACATAAGATTATCTTTATTTAAAGACCTATGAAAGTCAAAACCGCCTGAGAGAAAGTTCTGAAAGTTAAGAATATTGGTTTTGGAATCATAGAGCCTGGGCTTGAATCTTAGTTCTTTCTATACTTACTTATATTGAGCAAGTTACTTTATGCTCTATGTACTCTAGCTGTTTCATCTGTAACACACAAATAATAGTACTTGCAGCATAAGGTAGCTCTGAGTAAACACATAGTGACTCTGGAACACTTACAGGCTACTACTATTAACAAAACAGACTTATGATAAAGCATCCATAAGAAATTCTAAATGGCAAAATGATTGTTGAGCTATAAAAATCAAAGATAAGATGCGTAATATAGTAGGCAAAAGAGCAAATTTTAACAAAATAGAAAGTATTATGAAAAGTTAGATTAACTAAAACCTGGAAGTTCTTATACTCATTTCAAAATAATCATTAAAGGACACAGAAGATTGGAGGCATGCAGGATATGTGTGTGTGTGTGTGTCTTATGGGAGTCTTTCCCATGAGAAAAAAAATACTGTCACTTCTACGTGGTGAGTGTATACTAGGATAAAGTATAATTTAAAATCAAAGAAATAAAAGACACTTTTATAAAGGATTAAACATCATATTTGTCGGTGGGAAATACCAGACACTATAAAGCACTGCAGTAACATATTTTTAAAATTTCTGAGTGAAAAAGATTTTTAAAATCAGAATTTTAAAGTAAAACCTCTTTAGCAACAAAATGGATGCCTAAGTTATTGCTAAAAATGCTCACCCACCAAATAAGTATTCATATGAGCTGAATTTAAAAAAAGAACTACCTATTCAAATGCCAGAAACAAAGTATTTATTGTACTCACAAGCCAGGACTATGCAAAGGCTGTGCAGTAACAGGAGATAGAAGAAAACAATACATTCACCACATGACACTATTTTTTTCTCATGGGAAAAAAGACTCCCATAAAAACAAACAAACAAATAAATAAACTAAGCCAATTTTTGTGATATATCATGCAAAGTAGAGTCTAAATTTATAAGGAAGTCCCTAGCATGAAAACTGCCATTGAAAACAAGACTCAATCTTGATCAGCAATATAAATACCAAAATGCTCCAGAGATGTAGAGATGAGCTCATAAACAATTAAACCACACAGGGAAGAGACTCACCACCATAGGAAAATAAGTACAGAGTAATATTCCCTAAATAAGTTGAAGAAATCGTAAATCTAGGTGTTATCCTTGGGAAGTTCCTTCATTCTTTTATCTTACAAACAAATAGTAACAACCTGTCACTTCTAAATATCTCCAATACTTGTCTATTATTTTTCTACTTTGTTACTAGCATTCTAATCAAGCTTCCCTCTTTTAAAACAAAAACCACTGAATTAGTCTCTACTTAATTACCTTTCATTCACTGTGTCAAACTGATTTCCCAATTTGTGTACCGTCACACAAGTCCTTTCCAAATGCAAATGTGATCATACTGCAACTCTATTCAAATCATTCAAATGTTTCATATCTTAACATTAAAAAGCCTTGTATTCACAATAATCATTGAAATCACTCTTTGACAACTCTATAGGCTTATCTCTTACCCTACCTACCTCCCTACTTTCAATATACCCCATCTTTCAGTTCTCCAGATTCATCTCATTGCTTAGAATGCCACTCCTCCCCTGTACCTGGATTCACTGGTGTTAGCCTTTCAGCCTGATTAACCCTATCCTTCAAACTTCAGCACTTGGCACAGATGCAATTATAAATGTTTACTTGATCAGACACTCCACTCCGAGTAATACTAACCATCTAACTACAGACAAAACTGAACACCACATCTAAAATTATAGTTTACTCTCATGAATACCTCGGATTATTAAGCTTCTTAATTTTGTCAATAAGGCAATTGTGTGTCATTTTATTGTAGTTTTTAAATTTTTCATTTTCATGAAGCATGATGAATTTTTATTGTCCACCAAAATTTCTTCTGGTAAAGTGTATGAAGTCCTTTGTATTTTTTCAGTTGATATAAGTTTTTATATCTTGGGTACTATACTTTTGTCAGTTTTATTAGTGGTATCTTGCAATCTGTGGTTAACTTTTGTACTCAATTGTTTTTTTTTAAAAGAACAGAGATTTGTAACATATTTATCACTTTTTTCAGGCAAAAAGAAAAAAATATTGCTACTCAAAAGTTCTTAAGGACTTTCTATTTTCTTCTTTATAATGATTTATAGTTCAAATATGCCTAATCAGATCTTTACCTAAAAAGTGATTATGTATGATGAGCAATAGAGGTTCAATTTAAATTCTTTCCTCCTAACTGTTCTATCATTTACTGAAACAACTGTTTTTTCTCCTTCACTGTATAGTCTTTCTTCTATTATATTAAGGGCTCATTAATGTTTAAATATGTTCTGTATTCTACCTTCTATCCAAGTGATATTTGTGTGTATCCTTGCACCAACATTATGCTATGATTATTACTGTAACTTTAAAGTAAACCTTAATGTCAGGCAGAACATTTTTAATGGTGCCTTTAGTTTTATTCTTTTGTGTTTCCATATAAATTTTAAAGTGACTGTCATTTCACTGGAGGGAAAAAACCTTGTCAGTTGTGACTGTAATTCCATTATAGTGGCACTTTGGTTCACGAACTTAATTCTTTCCATAATGCTGTTCATGGAATTCATCCCATGATTCTGGCTGCAATTTTACAGGCAGCGGTACCAGTGTACTCTGCAAATTAATATGGACAGAATTAACACCCTTATTATGTGGATACATCCAATTCATGAAAACATTTTATCTCTTGTTTATTTAAAGTTCTATAGTATCTATCCAGAAGTGTTTTATTTCACTTTAGAAACCATAAACATCTTTGCTTAGATTTCATTCTATCTTTGCACTATTTTTAAATTTTACATTCTGACAAAAATCTAATTTTCATCTTAATTATAACCAGAAGCCTTTCGTGTTCACTAATTCTATTTCATTACATTATTTTAAACTTCAAAAATGAGAATTAGTACCCCTCCTTATGTGTTGGACAAGTGTCTCAATGACTACATGACAAACCCAGTATCTAAAGCCTTCTTTGTAAGGAGTATCATTCTGTTCTTATCATCCCTAATAACTGCCTATCTGTTCAACTACAAAAACATATTTAAAGAAATATATAATATCAAACACAGGTAAAAGTCTATTTTATTCAAAATAAGTTTGAAATAATTAACAAGATATACAATATGAATAAGCTCTTGGATTTTAAACTTTTTAAAGGAGCACAATCTTTTTACCAAGCAAAATCATTACGAACTCAAAAGACAACAGAAATCTAAGGTCAAACTTAAAATTTGTATAAATTTTGACACCTAAGTCTCAAATAGCAATAGTTTTGTTTTGTTTTCTTTGTTGTTAAATAACATTCAATTAAAGAACAGAAATATTTAGTCTTAAAATCTGTTGACAAATGACAATATAAATTGCTTGTATTCCTCCTTATAATCATATAGATATACCTTAAAGTACAAAATCTAAATTTACATCACAAATTTCTTACAGCTTAATTATTACACAAAAGATAGTCTGATTATTTTCATTTATGTAAATTCACAGGATAAGTTAGCAGCAGCACTAAAACTCCAAAGTAAATACAAAGAGCATTTGGACTGACCAAAAGCCTATTCTACTAACAGGAAATAACTAAAAGTTGAATGTATTTATCAATCACACCCTCTTTTCTGTGCAATTTTAGCACTGTCTTTCTCAACTCATTGTGCTCTCTACACAGAAACCTGACACGGTCATGCTTTTTATTCTTTCTTCATGCAATAACTCAGACCTAAAACTAATTGTTGCTGAAGAGGTCTTGTCTGATACTCTATACCCTCACCCACTACTTTA